TATATATATATATATACACACACACACACGCACACACACACACACAATTCAGTGGGGTTTTAGTATATTTATGAACTTGCATAGTCATTTCTGAGGTAGGATGGAAAAAAGACAGGAGACACGGAAATAATTTTAAAATTGTACTTTTAATAAAAACTGCAGCTTCAGGACACAAACTGAGTCAAAAATTCCTAAGGTCCTTAAAACTACAGAAAGCCTGGGCCATTTCTTTTTACCTGTAAATGGACCTTGGCCATTCCCTTTTCCTTATAAATGGGCCTTTCACTTATGGAAGGGCTACAGCTCTGTCATCTGTGATGGTTTTCCATCTATGAATCAGCCACTACCCTTTCCCTGTAGAAAGGGCCACTGCCTATCATCTGTAAATTGAATCCCATCTTCCCATAGAGTCACAAGTCTCACAGATTTCCTCCCCAAAACCCCATAAATATACCCAGCTACAGGGTACAAGGTGCCTCTCTCTGTTGAGAGCCCTCTATTTCTTTGAATGTGTACTTTAAAATTTTTATCTAATAAATCCCTTTATGTCTCTTATTTCTGGTTATGTCTTATTTTGGGGGAAACACAGTATCTACAGAATGTGCAACATTCTTTTCAACAACTACAGAATACACATTCATCTCAGAAGCATGTGGAGCTTTTTCCAAAATAAACCTACTAACCCATAAAGCATGCATAAATAAATACAAAATATCCATGAATATTATCACATGCATATTATTAGATTATAGTTTAATAAAATGAGAAATCAATGACAAACCACAAAAATATGCAAACACAGATTAAACAATACACTTTTGAATGATCAGGGGGTCACAGAAGAAATCAAGTTAGACAGTTCCTAGAATCAAATGATAATGCCAGTACAACTAGAATTTATGGAATAACAGTGAAAGCAGTCCTAAGAGGGAAGTTTATAGTTGTGAATGCCCACATCAGAAAAAGAGTGAATCCAAGCAAATAACCTAATGATCCACTTGATGGTCCGAGAAAACAACAACAACAACAACAACAACACCCACAGAAAACCAGGGCAGAAATTCATAAAATTGACACAAAAAATACAAAGAATCAGTGAACCAAAGAGCTGATATGAACCCTTGCCAATCTTTAAGCAAGCAGGAAAGAAAATATCCATCTTAATGCAATTACAAATGAAAAAGGTGAAGTCACAACAGACACCACCAAAATCCAGAAGATTATTAGGGACTACTTTGAAAACCTGGACTCCAATAAATTGGAGAATCTGGAAGAAACAGGTTCCTAGATACATATGAAATACCAAAACTGAACCAGGAAGGTGTAAAAACCATGAGGAGTTCAGAAAGCAAGATTGAAATTGAGGCAGAAATATAAAACCTACCAACTGAAAAAAGGCCAGGACCTGATGGATTCTCTGTTGAACTGTAGAAGAACTTCAGGGAAGACCCAATGCCAATATTCCTCAAACAGTATAATGAAATTGAAAGGGGTAAAGTATTCCCAAAGTCATTCCTAGAAGCCACCATTACCTTGATTCCCAAACCCGACAAGGACATAACAATAACAACAACAACAACAACAAAATAAACAAACCCCAAGTCCCCCAAACTATAAGCCAATCTCTTTAATGAATGTAGATGCAAAAATCCTCAATAAGATACAAAGTAGGTATGGAAGGATCTTAATCTGATAAAAGCTATTTATGACAAACCTACTACCAACATCAAATTAAATGGGGAAAAACTAAAAGATTTTCTTCTAAAATCAGGAATAAGACATAAATGTCCACTATCACCACTCCAGTTCAGTATAGTACTTGAAACTTTAACTTTCAATCAGGCAGGAGAAAGTAATAAAAGGGATATGTATAGGAAAGGAAAACAAGCTATTCTTATTCAGCAATGGCATGACCCATTATATAGAAGACATATCTTTCACCATGTACTAAAATAAAATAAAAAATGGATCAAAGACCTAGATATTAAAACAATACAACACAGGTAAAACTCTTGGAGTCATAGGTATAGGATGGATTTTCTGAGAACCACAATTGCATAAGAAATAATATCAAGAATTAATGAATGGGATTCTATCAAAAAGCAAAGGAAACAACAGAGTGAAGAGATAACCTATAGGATGAGAAATTTTTCCAGCTACTTCTCAAAGGACTAATATTTAGTACTCAAAAATGTTACCCCCCCAAATAAAAAGACCCAATTAAATAATTTGAAACTGAAATAGACACTTCTCAGAAAAAGAAGTACAAATGACCAATACATACATGAAAAATTGTCCAACATCTCTGACTGTTATGGCTTTTATCTAGGTGTCCCTCCAAAGCCTCATGCATTCAGAAGTGGGGATTTGTGAGTGACTGGATCATGAATGTGATGCTAGATTATGGATGTGATGCTGGATTAGTCCACTAATTGGTTTAGCATAATTATGAGTGTGACTGAATGGATTTACTGAAGATGGAAGACCTAACCTAGGTGTGAATGACACCAATTAATAGGCTTGTAGCCTGAACGGAATAAAAAAGAAAAATCAGAAAGAAGTGTGCAGCTTCCTGCCTGCCATGCCATGAACTCTTTCTCCTCTGCCATGCCACCCTGCCTTGAAGCCAGCTGACTATGGACTGAAACTTCTACAGACTATGAACTAAAATAAACCATTCCTTCCTGTGGGTGTCAGGAATCTTGTGGGTGTCAGGTGTCTTGTGGGTGTCAGGTATCTTGATCCAGCAATGAGAAAGTAACCAAGACACTGGCCATTGGAGAAATGCAAATTAAAATAACACTGAAATTTCATTTTACTAGGGAAAGTAATATGAAAATGTATCCTGCAAAACTTGCCTCCAAAATTGACAGAGAAATAAGGTATTTCCATGACAAGGAGCATCTCAAGAAATTCATAATCACCAAATCAATATCATAAAAATTTCTGATGAATATCCAAGAAAGAGACAATGAAACCAACAATGCCAATGAGAAGAATAGCAACAACAACAACAACAACAACAACAACAACAAAAACCTTGTGGGATGGGCAGTGAGCAAAATGAAAAAAATCAGCAACAGGAACATAATGCAATGACAAAAATAAGTCAATAACTTTCAGTAATAACGCTCAAGGTGAATGGTCTCTCCTCAAACAAAAGACACAGATTAGCAGAATAGATCAAGAAACAAAACCCAACAATATACAGCATAGTGGAAGCACATTTAATTAAAAAAGAAACTCATATAAAATGGAAAAATAGGAACAAAATCTTTGTAAATAGGGAGGAATGGAGGGGTTGAAGGGAGGGCTGGGCAAGGGTGAAAAATAAGAACCAAGAGAGACTATTTAAAGGTGCAAATTTCCGATGATGAATGTCATTATATTGTATACCTAAAATGTACCATTGATTAGAATGAGTAATCCATAATGCAAAATAGGAAGAAAAGGTCCAAAGGGGCAGGGGTAGTGGGAGGGGCAGGGGAAAGGAAAGAAGGGAAAGGAAAAATGATGAGAAATGGAAAAAATGGAAATAAAGTCTTTGTAAATAGGGAAGGGTGGAGGGCATGAAGGGAGGGCTAGGTATGGGGAAAAAATAAGAACCAAGATGCATTATGTAAAGGTACAATTCCCAATGAGAAA